TATTTTAGAACAAACCTTTTAATACTATTGAAATTAAGTTAAAAATGACAAAATTAGATTGTTTTAAGATGTTAATTTTAATCCCTAGGGCAACCACTAAGAAAATGATTTTTTAAATCTTCTAAAAAACAACAAGAGAATTAAAATGGCATACTAAAAATGTCTTTTAAAAAAAGAATGAAATAGTGGAGAAATAAAGCAGCAAAAAAGACAGTAGACATATAGAAAACAAATAGTAAAATGGCAGATGTAAATCCTACCCTATCCATGATTACATTAAATACAAATTGATTAAACACTCCGGTCAGAGGGCAGAAATTGGCAGAATGGGGCAAAAAAGCATAATCCAACTCCATACTCTCTAGAAGAGAAACACTTTAGATTCAAAGAAATAAATAGAATGAAAGTGAAAAGATGGAAAATATATACCAGCAAAGGGTAATGAAAAGAGTAGTGGTTATTTTAATATCAGGCAAAATAGACTTTAGGACAAAAAAATATTATTCGACAAGAAAGGTATTTTATAATGACAAGGTCAACCCATTAGGAATATATTAAAACATGTGTAAACATATATAAATGTCAAAATACATGAAGCAAAAACTGCCAGAAAAAAAGGGGAAAAACAGACAATTTGATGATAGCAACTGGAGACTTCAAAATGACACTTTAAAAACTTGATGGAACAAGTAGGAAGAGTGTCAACAAGAAAATAAGACAGTTGGGTGGCTCAGTCAGTTGAGTGCCCGCCTTTGGCTCAGGTCGTTATCCCAGGGTCCTGGGATCGAGTCCCACATCAGGCTCCCTGCTCAGAAGGGAGTATGCTTCTCCCTCTGCCCCTCCCTCCCCACCCCCACCTGTGCTCTCTCTCTCTCTCTCTCTCTCTCTCTCAAAAGTAAATAAATAAAATCTTAAAAAAAAGGAAAAGAAAATAAGACAATTGAATAAAACCAAACCAACTAGAATAACAGACATCTATAAAATACTCCAAGCAGCATCAAAATACACATTCTTGTCAAGCACCCATGGTACTTTCTCTTGGATAGACCATACAGTAGGCCATAATAAAATACCATATAAATTTATAAGGAGTGAAATCATACAAATAATATTCTCTGAGAATAATGGAATTAAATTAGTAATTGAAAACATAAGGAGATCTGAAAAATCTACAAACATGTAGAAATTAAACAGTGTGTTTACATTTAATCAGAAGAAATCATGAGGGAAATTAGAAACTACTTTGAGATGAATAAAAATGAAAACACAACATACCGCAACTTATGGGATGTAGTTAAGCAGTGCTTAGAGGGAATTTTATAGTTGTAAATCCTTATATTAAAAATATGAAAATCTCAAATCAATAATTTAAATTCTCACCTTAAATCACTAGAAAAAATCAGCTTAAAACCAAAGAAATCATAAGGAAGGAAATAGTAAAGATTAGAGTGAAAAAAATGGAATAGAAAAGAGTAAAACAATAGAGAACATCACTAAAACCAAAAGCTGGTTCTTTGAAAATATAAGGAAAAAAAAAAAACCTGGCAATGCTATAGCTAGACCTACCAAGAAAAAAAAGATAGGGATTCAAATTATTAAAATCAGGAATGAAAGAGGGGACATGACTCTTAACTCTAAAGGTTCACAAAGCATTATACAGTAATACTATGAACAGCTGTATGACAATAAGTAAGACAAGATAGATGAAAGAGACAAATTCCAATAAAGACACAAACTACCAACACTGACAAATTGGAATAGGAATAGAAAGAAAAGTAACCTTACTGAAAATGGCAATGGAATTCTGGGACTTGACCCCTCTCCCAAAAGCAACTAATAAGCTGGCAAAAAGTATCAGAATCAACTTTTGTAGAATTCTGGAATCTAGTAAAATAAAAATTGTAACAACGAGGGGGAAATTTGGTGAAAAAAGAGGCTGCTGTTTGTGGTAAGAAATTTTAAATTGTCTGCCTACCACAAACAGCCTGGGGCAAGGAACAACATTTGGGATAAACAATAGACAGATTGAGAAGTGTAAGTATGAGAAGTTGGGGAAAAGACATACATGGAGGAAAAACACTTTAAAAACTCACATATACTAAGGAATCAAATAGTATATGTCCATACCCAAGGTTGGACACATGCTCAGAAAAGGCCAGAGAAGACCCTAAACATTAACCTTGGGCTGGCCTTAAGGTCTGCACAAGCAGAAAGTAAAGCATTAAAAATACCTCAACTCAGAGCTCATCTGCAAAGACTGGGAAAGTATTTTTCTTCTGTTGGCTCTAGACATTTATTTTTTATTTTTATTTTTTTTTAAAGATTTTATTTATTTATTTGAGAGAGAGAGAATGAGAGAGAGAGAAAGCACATGAGAGGGGGGAGGGTCAGAGGGAGAAGCAGACTCCCTGACAAGCAGGGAGCCTGATGCGGGACTCGATCCAGAGACTCCAAGATCATGACCTGAGCCGAAGGCAGTCGCTTAACCAACTGAGCCACCCAGGCGCCTGGCTCTAGACATTTAAAGTAACTCTGTCCAAATACCAATTGATTACTGAGCTAATATGGCACAGATTTCAGTGGCCACACATGACAAAGACTAGAGAATTAAAAAAATATATTTTAAAAAGTCACTAAACAAAGAAAGAACCAACAATAAAGAACAATAACAAACCCTGGAAAGTGGGAGGATCTAATTTACAGAGTTGACATTTTCTAATATACAAAACATCTAGGTTCCAACACAAATTGTGAGGCATATGAAGAAACAAGAAAGTATGGTCTATTTCCAGGAAAGAAAAAAATTATTAGACTGAGTATAAGAAAGTTCATGTATTGGACAAACTAGAAAAAAATTTTAGATCAACTTTCTTAAATACGCTCAAAGAGCTAAAGGAAACCATAGGCAAAAGACTAAGGAAATGAGGGGAAAATGCCTCAGCAAATATAAACTATCAGCAGAAAGATAGAATATAGAGATAGAAATTATAAAAAGGAACCAAATAGAAATTCTGGAGCTGAAAATAACTGAAGTGAAAACCTCACTAGAGGGTTTTGACAGCATATTTGAGCAGGCAGAAGAAAGAATCAGTTACCCTGAAGATAGATCAATTGAGATTATCCAGTCTGAGGAGCAAAAAGTAAAAAGAATGAAGAAAAATTAGCAAAGCCTAAAAGAACCAGGAGACACAATGAAGCATACTTAACATACGCATGATAGGAATCCCAGAAGGAGAAAAAAGAAACAGGAAGAAAGAATTTTTGAACAAATAAAAGCTAAAAATTACTCATAAGGGGACACACTAATCTATGCATACAAGAAGTTCAGTTAACTCCAGTCAGGATAAACATGATCCAAACCAAGACACATTATAGTCACAATGTCAAAACCAAGTATATGGTGTTACACTGTAACAATATAGTTTTGGCAGTTTTCTAGTTTTTGAGTTGGGTGGTGGTTTCACGGTATGAAAGAGGAAAGGGAAGGGAAGGGGAAAAAAATAAAGGGGAGGAAAGGAAAGAAAAGAGGGACAAAGGGTTAATGATAAAGACTGTTGTAGACCAAGATTTACGATAGATCTGTTCATCTGTGATACATTTTAAAAGAATATTTTAATGCTTTCTTTTTTAGCTGACATTCTACATGAGAACAGGTCAAATATTGGAGTGCAAGTTTCAAGTGTGAAGAGAAGTGAAGGGAGAAGGTGAGAAGGAAGTTGCTGAAAGCAGGTTGGGGTATATGGATTTTGAGGTCCGTCGGGGACATTCAAGCAGTGGTATCCAATAGACAGTTGGCAAAAAGGGTCTGGGGCTAAGGGGAGGAAATAGCCTGGAGATGGAGATTTGAGAATCATCTGTGCTTAGAGGGAAATGAACAGAAATCTCTCAGGGAGAGAGAACGTGTGGACTGAGAGAAGAGGCCCAGGAACACAGCTACTCAAGGTGGCAGCGCCGCTTCCCGGTGGGCACTACTACCTGGGCTCTGGAGTCAGGCAGAGCCGCTCTTGGAAGCAGCCTGTGGGACTCAGCTGCTGAGCGCTCCTGGCAAAGTCGGGTACCGTCCCTGTGATCAGCGGTCACACCTGGCAATGACGTACCTCGCAGAGGGATGCTGTGCGAGGACCTGAGATGCGCCAGGTGAAGCACCTGCGGTCGGGAAGCCTCCGGGCTCCTGCTCTCGCCTTGATTCCCCCTTTGCCACCCCGCCCCCCACCGTGTGCGGCTGCTCGGTCCCTTGGGGATGGGGGTGAGGGGGCGGGGTGGGGGACCGAGCTCGGGTGACGCGGCGCTCACGTGACCGGCTGGGCGCCGACGTGGGCAGCAGCCCCCGCGCCCGCCCGCTCGCCCGCCCTGCGGTCCGGTCCCTGCGCCCTCCGCTCCCGTCGCCCGCGCGGAACCAGCTCCCTGAGCTGCCCGGGCGGCGGGCGAGGGGCGAGCGGGCTTCGGCGAGCAGGTCAGTGTGAAGGTGGGCGCTGCTGGCGGCCCCGGGCTGGGGTGGAGGTGGATGGCAGTAGGATCCGTGAGCAGCGCGGGGTGGGGAGGGGTCCGGGAGGTCGGTGGGGAGGGGGATGCAGCGCGGACGTGGGCAGGTGGGGAGAGAGCACCCCGCCGCCTCCTCGACGCCCCTCCTGTGCGCCCTCCATGCATTTTTGGACCTGAAATGGGAGGAAACGCCCCCGCAGTGCGACAGTGAAATGTAGGCATATTCTAGAAATAACCCCCTCTCACACTCTGCACCTAAAAGGAAATACTGACCTCCGCGGAAAGGGGGTGGGGGTGGGCGGCTTGCCTGCGGGGGAGGGAGACACAGAGACCCAAACCATTTGGAAAGCATCCTGGTCTGGAGTCTGAGGCCTGAAAATTAATGGCGGCTGGGATGCGGGGGAGGTAGGAGAGGGAAATGTTGCTTGAGTAGGACTCAGATTCGGGAAAGAAACCTCAGTAGGCTGAGTGCACAGGCCCTGCCCGTCTTCTCTCTGTCTGCAGGTCTCTGTGTCTGTCCCCAGCACTCTGCAAGGCTAGAAAAGGAGGAGGAACCTGTCCAGAATCCCTGCAGGTGAGTGAAAGGGAGGAGGGGCACTGGACAGGAACGGTGGGGGGAGGGTGCGGAGGGCACAGTTTGGGCAGAATTTGAAGGTCCCACTGCTCATCTCACCACCATGTATATTGCACCCACCCGGCCACACCGAGGGATGGTGCAAAGGGCCTGCCAGGGAAATGGTTGGCTCTCACCTGTGGGATGAATTGTGGGGTAAAGGGTGGGCAGAAGACACCCTTGGAGGGCTTGGGCAGGTCAGGGGAACCCAGCCAAGGGGAAGGATGCCAGTACCATCAGCACCTGCACTCCACCTCCACGTCCTCAGTCTCCCTTGTCTCTTTTGACTTCTCTTAACCCCCTATCCCACCCTACCCCGCAGGACAAGGAAAAGAAGGGAAAATCTCAACATGGAAAAACTCTACAATGAAAATGAAGGAAAGCTGGAAATCGAGGGAACGCCAGAAGATGACGTAGAGCCTGAAGATGAAGGAAAATCAGATGAGGAAGAAAAGCTGGAAGTGGAGGGGAAGCCAGGGCATGAGGGAAAGCTCCAGAATAAGGGACAGCCAGATGATGAGGGACAACCAGAAGATGAGGGAAAGCAAGAAAAGCAGGGCAAGTCTGAAAATGAGGGAAAACCACACGGTGAGGGCAAGCCAGAATCCCTGGCAAAGCCTGAGAGTGAGCCAGGGGCTGCTGAGAAGCGCCCAGCTGAAGATTACGTGCCCAGGAAAGCAAAAAGAAAAACAGACAGGGAGACAGATGATTCCCCCAAGGACTATCAGGAGGACTTACAGGAAAGGCACTTGGGCAGTGAGGAGATGATGAGAGAATGTGGAGATATGTCAAGGGCTCAGGAAGAGCTAAGGAAAAAACAGAAAATGGGTGGTTTTCATTGGATGCAAAGAGATGTACAGGATCCGTTTGCCCCAAGGGGGCAACGGGGTGTCAGGGGGGTGAGGGGTGGAGGTAGGGGCCAAAGAGGCTTACATGATATCCCATATCTTTAATGCCTTTGGCCTTCAATTTTGTTTTCTCTGATGAGAATATTGCTGCCGCTGCTTTCCCTGGCAGGCATTTGCCAGGCTATGTGCTTTAACCTTAAGCTGATATTTTGTTTTAGGTGTCACTCTTGTTACCAGCAGCCTTTTGATCCAACTATAATGCTCTCTGCCTTTCAGTAGGGAATTTTCATCCATGTGCATGGAAAAGATGTTCATGGTACATTCCAAAATAACAATAAAGATAAAACCACTTTCAGAACCCCATATGCAGTATCAGCCCATTTTTTTTGTAAGAATATAATGTTTACATAATGCATTCGTGCACAGAGAAAACTCTGAAAGTGTGTTACACTAAAAAGTAAGCAATGGTTTTTCCTGCATGGTAGCCAAAATAGGACTCACCCATACTCAAAAATGAGTTCAATCACCTCATGGTTAGGTACTTCCATGGCATTCCTCAGCAGACATGCCCAACCCCATGTCTTCCCCTAGTTGTAACCATGTCGGTGAGCACTGCTGCTCCTTCTGAGTCCTCTACCATCCTATGGCTCCCACCATGTGTGATTCTTTTTATTTGGTCACTCATCTCTTTTTCCTAAATATATGAATTATGTTTGTCATAATTAAAAAATAACTAAAATCAGAAAAGAAAACATGGTAAGTGATTGAACTGTTCTGTGAGTTTAAGAGGGCAGTGAAGACACTTAAAATTCCTGTTGTCAGAACATACAATAATAAGTAAAACTCACATTTCTAGGACTAATAGCTAGAAGAATCAACCTGACAATTATAACAGACCCACTGCTATAAAGGTCAATGTAGTCATCTGTGAAATGGGGATATTACTTGCTTCGTGGGCCTGCCAAGTGGATTAGAGGTACTGAGTATGTGAGCTCTGTTGTAACCCAGCCTCTACCAGATACTTGTGTGGGGGCGGGGCGGGGGGGAGGCTCCCACACCATTCCCATGCAGCAGCAGGTATATGGATGGAATCAGACACTTGGAGCGGGACTGAAGGTCTCACCTGTGCCCAGTAACAAATCTAGGCAGCTAGAAGATGAATGTCATTGTCTCCTGGATACTTCCATGTCTGCTGGGCACTGTGCCCTTTCTCCTGGGTTCTGTACTTATTACTGATACTGTCTAATGATCTGGAGGCCTAGGTGCCAAAGCCCTATCAATTTCTCTAGAGCCAATGCCCACCTACCCTTGACCCTTATAGAAGTGTGAATAAAGCTCTTTCCCCACTTGAGTTATAGTTATTCAGTTACCTGTGAATATCCCACCAGTGCTACTTGCAATGGTGTTTTATGTGTTTTTTGTGTGTGTGTTTTTGCATACATGAATATCCTCATCAAATTCAGATATTGCAGGCTAGACCAGGAAAAAAAATCTGTATGATAAAACTGTGCTAGGGTGACTGGGTGGCTCAGTTGGTTAAGTGTCTGACTTCAGCTCAGGTCATGATCTCAGGGTCCTGGAATAGAACCCCACGTTGGGTCCAGGGCTCAGTGGGGAGTATTTTTGTCTCTCTGCCCCTCCCCCCACTTATGCTCTTTCATAAATAAAAATAAATAAATAAAAGCTTTTTTAAAAAAAGCTGTGCTATTCTTACAGGTTAATATCTGCAAACTCTTTCCTAGGTTGAGTTATCGCCCAGGAAACTTTTCAGGCCCCAATTTAGCAATTCAGCCAACCCTTAAATATATTTTATTTTTAGATCCTTATTGGTGAACATGTGGTGCATGGACCAGCTCATCAGTATCACTTGAGAGTTAATTAGAAATGCAGAATCTCACCTTACCTCAGACCTACTGAGTTAGGATCATTTTAACAAGACCCCCAGGTGATCCCTATGCACATTTAAGTTTGAGAATCACTGGCTTAGATGGAGACTCTTTTCAGGCTCTCCACTCCCACCTTCCCATAAAATATGTACCTGAAAGTATAAATATATGCACCATATAAGATACACATCACAGATTATTAAATAGACCCATGTTTGTCAGACTGCAGTTACCACTTTCCCATGCATTGGTAAGTCTTGAATTTAATTCAGTGAATCAAGACTTGCAAATTGTTAAGGAAATAAGATAGAATAAAGGCAAATAGAAAATATCAAATTGCAGGTATGGTGAATATTATATGAAATTTGTGTTTCAGATGTGTGTGTGTGTGTGTGTGTGTAACATGAGTTGTGATACAAAAATATATTTCTAACTGTGGGCTGTGGTTTTAAAAAACTGAGAAACACTATTGGATTCTTTGCATCTCAAAACTTATCCAGCCCATTTCATATTTGTAACCCTAGTGCGCAACACAGTACCTGACAAATAGTAGGTATTTAATAAAAGCATAGATAATAAGGACTAATTTGGGAACCCTAAGTTTTTTCCCAAGCTTAGCCCCTATCTACATAATTAACTTTGGACAAATAATTTTAATTGTCTAACAGTGTTTACCAGCACCAAGGAGAGCTCCTGGGCTGGACAGAGTGGAACTTCTCAACCCCAGGAAGACAAGCTCTGTAAAGTGAAACTAAACAACTGTGGTATATGTGCTGTAAAGGGACCCAGTGGAGGACTCTGTGTATGCCACAGGAGTACAGCATCATAAAGGAACAGTATGTCTGCCAGTGGGAGGCCAGGCTAAGGAGCTGCCATGGAGGGATAACAGTTGAGCTACCTGCAGGTGATCTTTCTCCAGTTAGCCTGTGGGAATCAGGGCCTTAGATTTTAGAGACAACATATATCATATTGGTTTTGTGCTTGGACTCCATATGGTTTCCAATTTTAAGTGGTACCCAGAGCAAGAAAAAGATCTACAGTAGGTCCAGGCTATAGTGCAAGTTTCTCTGAGACTTCAGCCTCATGACCCTGCAGACCCAACTGTATTATATTCTTGCTATACAGAGTCTATGCAGCCTTAAAAATCCCCAATAATAGAATTAAAAAAACACACTCCTAGGGTTTTTGAGCAAACCGTGCCCTCTTCTTTCAGCAATTAGTCTCCATTTGAGAAGGTGCTCACTTGCTGCCAGACCCTCGTAGAGACTTAACACCTGGCCATGAGGTATTAATTTTCTGTATGAATGAGACATCCATTATGAATTTGTTTCTATTTACTCTGTTGAATAGTAAAGTTTTGTGTGAGCACTGGCAAATGGGTTAAAAGACTGGACTTGGGTACATAAAAATGGCACAAGTAAACTACATGATACCAATTCCTGCTATTTCATTGTCTTTATCTCTCAACCATCATGTATGGCCTCATGGGAGTTCCTCATAACCAGTTAGAAGAGGGATAAAACAATGATCCAGTTTGTGGATGTATCTTCTTGGTATGTTGATAGTAGATGTAAATGGATGTCTGCTGCACTATAACCCCACTCAGGAATGACTCAGAAAAACACTGGGAAAGAAACATGCTACCAGTAGGTGGAATGCTATGTGGTTCATATGGGTCTTTGTATATAACTCTTCATGGCTGTAGGTATGGATCTACTCTGACCAATATGCAATGATTAAAAGATTGATCAGGGACTTTGGAAAAATTTAAATTAGAAAATTAATAACAGTGCAGATTTTGTATCCCATGATATAATAATTTACTATTGCACAACAAATTATGACACACTGAGGTTAACAAAACATTCATTTATTAGTTCACACATCTGTAGGCCAGAGGTCTTGCAATGTATGATTGTGCTTTCTGCTCAGGCTCTCACCAGGCTGACATCAAGGTGTTTTCAGAATTCAGTACCTTGCAGCTATAGGACTGTGGTACTGCATATTTTTACTGGCTAACAGCTGAGCTGTTTTCAGCTTATAAAAGCTTACATTCTTTACCACAAGGCTTGCTCCATTTTCAAGCCCATAACAGCACATTGACTCTTTCTCATGCTTCTAATCTCTGACTTCTCTGTATCTGACTCTAGACCCCTATTTAAAGGGATAATATGGGGTGCCTGGGGGGAATCAATCTGACTCTTGATTTTGGCTCAGGTCATGATCTCAGGGTTGTGAGATCAAGTCCCACATTGGGCTCTGTGCTAGGCATGAAGCCTGCTTAAGATTCTCTCTCTCCCTCCCCTTCCCTCTCAAAAAAAAAAAAAAAAAAAAAAAGCGGGGGGGGTGATGTGATTAGGTCAGGGCCACCTAGATAATTTTCCTATGTTAAAGTCAACTGATTTGAGACACTAATTATATCTGCAGATGGCTTCACAGAAACACATGGATTAGTGCTTGATTAAATAACTGGAAGAAGGTATGTATGCAAACCAGCTGGCAATTTGGTAGGCGATCTTAAAATTCTGCCTACCACAGTCCACCTTCTGATTCCTGAAGATTCATTTCTTTCCCAAATGCAAAACATCTTCACCTTCTCCCAATATTCACAAGAATCTCATCTCATTACAGCATTAGCTCAAAAGTTGAAATCTCATCATCTAAATCACCTAAACTAGATGTGTATGAGGATCCTAGGCATAATCCACTAAGTACAGTTCCTGAAGATATTACTCTCCATCTGAAACTCCATGGGTCCATACACTGTCATGGTGACCAAGTTGGATACTATGACTGGGCTCCACAACATTGCCTTCCTATTACCAAGGTTGACCTGGCTACTGCCACTGCCAGCTGTCCAAAACTCCCACAGCAGAGGACAATGCTGACCCATGTATTTGGCAACACTTCCTGGTGCAGCCAACTACCTGCCAAGTGGTAAATTGATTACTGGAACCCTTCTTTCACAGAGGAGTCAGAATATTTCTCCTTACAGTAATAGATATGCATATCAGATAAAGAATTGCCTTTACTGTCCATACCACTTCTGTCAGCATAAGCATGTCTTAGTTATCTGAATAGTGCCACACAAAAAATCACCAAAATCATATTCAACCAAGGAATTAATTTTGCTACAAAAGATAAAAAGAAATGGGCTAAATCTCACAGAATTTACTAATCTCTGACTTCTCTTATTGTGAAGATTTGGTAATAATTATTTTGTAAATGTTTGGTAGAATTCATCAGTGAAGCCATCTGGACCTGGGCTTTTATTTGTGGGTATATTTTTTATTACTAATGCAATCTCTTCACCTGTTATAAGTCTATTTGTTTAATCTATTCT